CGCCATTTTACAAACGCACAGGCATAGAGATTTATCTAATCGAAAAGCTTGTTTTAATTGTGGGAAAACGGGGCACCTTAAGAAAGATTGTCAAGCCCCTGAAAGAACAAGAGAACTGGAGCTTATTATTATAGATATTAAGGATTGTTTCTTCTGTATTCCACTTTACCCACGGGATAGACCAAGGTTTGCCTTCACTATCCCTTCTCTTAATCATATGGAACCAGACAAGAGATTTCAGTGGAAGGTACTGCCGCAAGGCATGGCCAATAGCCCAACAATATATCAGCTGTATGTGCAGGAGGCTTTGGAGCCAATTAGGAAGCAATTTACATCTTTAATCATGATCCATTATATGGACGATATTCTTATTTGTCACAAAGAGTTAGATGTTTTACAAAAGGCTTTTCCCATGCTGGTGGCTGAATTAAAACAGTGGGGATTAGAGATTGCCTCAGAAAAGGTTCAAATTGCAGATACAGGCCTCTTTTTGGGCTCAATGATTACTCCCAAAAATATAGTTCCTCAGAAAATAGAAATTCGCAAAGAACACTTACAAACATTAAATGATTTTCAGAAACTTCTGGGAGATATAAATTGGTTGAGGCCCTTTTTAAAAATTCCATCTGCTGATCTAAAACCCCTCTTCGATCTCCTGGAGGGTGAGCCTCATATCTCCTCACCCAGAAAATTTACCCCTGCCGCCCACCGAGCCTTACAGATGGTGGAAGAGGCCTTACAGGAAGCACAATTACAACGTATTGAGGAGTCACTACCTTTTAATCTGTGTGTTTTTAAGACAGCTCAATTGCCAACTGCAGTCCTGTGGCAACATGGACCATTACTTTGGATTCATCCAAATGCTTCCCCTGCTAAGATTATTGACTGGTACCCTGATGCTGTTGCACAGCTCACGCTTCGCGGAATAAAAGCAGCTATTACGCATTTTGGCAGGGATCCTGATTCCTTGATTGTGCCTTATACTGCTGCACAAGTTCAGACCTTGGCAGCCACATCTAGTGATTGGGCAGTTTTAGTTACTTCCTTTTCAGGACAAATTGATAATCATTTTCCGAAGCATCCAATTTTACAGTTTGCCCTAAACCAGGCTATAGTGTTTCCACAAGTGACAGCTAAAGACCCACTCCCAGATGGGACTGTGGTGTACACTGATGGATCGAAAACTGGTATGGGAGCTTATGTGGTCAAGGATAGGGTTATATCTAAACAATATAATGAAACTTCACCTCAAGTTGTAGAATGTCTGATAGTACTGGAGGTTCTTGAGGCTTTTCCAGGACCCCTCAATATTGTATCAGATTCCTCTTATGTGGTTAATGCAGTTAATCTCCTTGAGATAGCTGGAATAATAAGATCCTCCAGCAGAGTTGCTAACATCTTTCAGAAGATACAAGCTGCCTTGTTAAATAGGAGATTTCCTGTTTTCATTACCCATGTCCGAGCACATTCTGGACTCCCAGGTCCCATGTCCTTAGGGAATGACTTAGCGGACAAGGCTACAAAGCTGGTGGCTGCTGCCTTGTCTACCCACGCACAAGCAGCAAAAGAGTTCCATCAGCGCTTTCATGTGACGGCTGAGACCTTGCGCCGTCGTTTTGCTCTATCCAGGAAAGAGGCTAGGGAAATTGTTACTCAATGCCAGAATTGCTGCGAATTCTTACCTACTCCCCACGTGGGAATAAACCCACGTGGCATTAGACCATTGCAGATGTGGCAGATGGATGTTACTCATATTCCCTCTTTTGGAAGGCTTCAATATGTTCATGTTTCTGTTGACAACTGTTCTGGTGTAATGTTCGCCACGCCCCTAACAGGGGAAAAGGCCTCATATGTGATTCAACATTGCCTTGAGGCCTGGAGTGCTTGGGGAAAACCCAGAATTTTAAAAACAGACAATGGACCAGCATATACCTCTCAAAAATTCCGACAGTTTTGTCGGCAAATGGATGTTACCCATCTAACTGGCCTACCTTATAACCCTCAAGGACAGGGCATTGTGGAACGTGCCCATCGTACACTCAAATCATATCTGATTAAACAAAAGGGGAGTATTGAGGATGTTCTACCCTCGGTACCAAGAGTTGCTGTGTCCATGGCACTTTTTACCCTTAATTTCTTGAACTCTGATGCCCAAGGCCACACTGCGGCTGATCGCCACAGTTTAGAGCCTGATAGGCCAAAAGAAATGGTAAAATGGAAAGATGTGCTAACTAATGAATGGAAAGGCCCGGATCCTATTCTAATAAGATCCAGGGGAGCTGTGTGTGTTTTTCCACAGGAGGAAGAAAACCCCCTGTGGATCCCTGAAAGACTAACTCGAAGAGCTCCTTCACAACTCCAGAATAAGAAGGATGGAGGCCAAGTGGGTGATGAAGACTCTCCTACTCGGGATGATGGTTCCTAGTATGATGGGAGAGTTACGGTGGGCCATCATGTCTACCTTCCCCTACCGATGCCAGTGATGCATAATGCCCAGGAGTTCCCTAGATTTTTCACAACTAATAGAGAGTTGGGGCTTGCCTTTTGCCTTTAGATCCTCAGATACAGAGTTTTCAGGATGAGAGAACCTTGTCATTGGTAGGAAGCTTGTGCTTTACTGTGATTTCTTCATTAAAGGATAATTTTATTCATATGGATCCAGAAAGATCTAATGCTAATCCTTTTGAATTAATGGAAGCTGTACTGATCTTTCTCCTATGGCAATGATTGCTGGAGGATATAGTGAGAAGGGACAGATTACTTTTGATTGGAAAGGGGCATTAGGCAACAGTCTGAGTGAGGGACAGAGCTCTGGATCATCTGATTGGTCCTCCTCCAATGTTAAGTATACCCCTTTTAAGAGAACTAATTATTCAGCTGCTCCAATTTGTGTTTGGCTGCCCTTTATTTGGGTTGTGAGTAATGATACCTTAGGTAAGAATCAGAAAGAAATAAATTGCTCTGCTTAGAATTGTTTTTATGCATTATGCTGGGATGCTATTAAGCACCCTTTTGCTTTGGTAATGCGCATGCCTCGATTTGTTCCAGTTCCTGTTGAGGTGCCAAGTAGTTTGAGTTTGTTTAGGGAAAAGCGAGATTTTTGGGATCTCTGCTATTATTGTGGGCCTGATAGCTGCCGCCGCGGTTACTGCTTCGGTTACCGCCTTGGCCCTTGCACTTTCCGCCACTGTGCAGACAACTCAAACCATTAATGAACTATCAGCCACTGTGACCATGGCCCTAGATAAACAGGCCACTGCCAATTCTCAGATACAAGGAGGCCTGATGTTGGTAAACCAACAGATTAATTTGGTTCAGGAACAATTGGATATATTGTGGCAGATGGCCCAATTGGGATGTGAACAAAAGTTGCCTGGCCTTTGTGTCACTTCAGTACAATATGAGAATTTTACAAGAGCAGCTAACCTGTCAAAAGCTCTGTCTCAACATTTATTACAGAATTGGACTTTTGAGTTTGAGCAGACACTCCGTGAGTTGAGAGTGGCGATCCTGCAAGTGAATTCGACGCGTCTGGATCTTTCTCTGATGGAAGGCCTCTCCTCCTGGATTTCATCTGCATTTTCTTATTTTAAGGAATGGGTGGGGGTGGGATCATTTAGCCTAGTTCTCTGCTGTGGAATAGTGTTGATGCTTTGGATGGTGTGTAAGCTCAGAGCCCAAACAAAAGAGACAAAGTGATGGTGGCACAAGCACTTGCTGCCTTAGAACACGGAGCCTCCCCTGACATTTGGTTAACCATGTTAAAGCAATAGGTCGCTGGCTTCCCGGCTCTTGCACCCCACGAGGCTAGTCTCATTGCACGGGATAGAGTGGGTAGGCTTCAGCAGCCCAAGGAGTTGCAAGGCTAAGCACTGCACAGGAGAGGTCTGCGGTATAACGACTTTCTCCTGGGAGATAAGTCATCTTGCATGAAGGTTCTATGTCATGATCTCCTTCCCCCAGAAAAACGACATCGGGACTGGTCAGGGCTCCCTCTGGGGATAAGACCCTGGAGAGGAGCTTTGTACATGTTCCAAATTTGCACATGGGGATTTGACCTCTATCTCCACTCCAAAGTTGTGGGTGTCCTATGGCTTCAAAAATAAATGAATAGGGGGAGATGTGAGGAGCCGCCCTCGCTATCGCTATCGCCATTAGAAGATGGCACTGACATCAGCTGTCAGTTGGAGTTCACCGTTTAAGCTGTGCCTCTCCCGTGGCGTCATCTGGGGTGATGAGCAAACCACCAATCCCGGCTCTACACGTCTCACTCGGAGCTCCTAGGCTTATATAACGAGCTGGGTTTCTTAGCTTGGGGTCTCCCTCTCAGAAGCTGATCATCTATCTCTCAAGATGTATTAAAGCTTTACTGCAGAAGGATCCGAGTGTCCTGCGTCGTTCTTGCTGGCAAGACGGTAGCGCGGGACAACCTACGTGTAAGAAGTTACTTCTCAATCAACTATGGATATAAAACACACAGGATGGACATGTTGCCTGAATTGTATTTTTATCCTTTTAAAATTATTTTATTATTTCCTTGAGACTATTATACAATATATTTTCCATTACATTCATTTCCTTCCTTAACTCTTCCCAAATCTCCCCGCCCCTACCACACAAGTTCACTACCTCCTTCTCTCTTTCTTCCTTTTCTCCTTCCCTCCCTCCCTCCCCACAAATGCCGGTTTGTGTTGGTCAACTACTCTTGGGAGTACACCGAATTAATTAAAAAATGTATTCATTTAATTTTAAGCGTATGTGTGAGCATGCATATTGTAGTACCCACAGAGGTCAAAAGAGGGCATCATATCCCTCGGGGCTTGGGTTGCAGATGGTTTTGAGCTGGCACTTGGATACTAGGAACTGAACCTAGGTCTCCTGCTAGAGCAGTCACAGCTTTTAACCCTAAGCTGTCTCTGAAACCTCGTGAGTAGGATTTTTAACACGTGTCAGTACTTTTAAACGGGCTTAGAAGACAGTGTAGGTAGGCGTAAACTCACAGTTTGGGTGACATCAGGAAACACTGGAGCAGTAGACTGGCCAATAGAAACAGGCCGGGAGGGAGTCGTGGGAGGACTTAGCTGAACGGTGGGATTCTGGAGTTCAGGGTCAAGTAGTTTAGGGCACTGGCTGGAGACGTCAGCGGCTCAGCTTGTGTGGTCACAGGAGGCTAATGACGCGGCTTTCAGCTACGATCGCCTCCCAGGTTCCACTGCGTCGATGACTAACTGCCTTTCTTCCCCCTCGCAGGAACCTTTGACACCGCCGTGCCTTTCAGAAGTCTTACACCCACACTGCTACTATTATTCTAGCTTGACGATGGAAGGGAGACGGATGGCCAGTTACAAGCAGCTTCAATTCAGGGCTGTCTGTGCCATGTTCAAAAATGCTAACCCAGGCTTCTCCCCCAGAATATCTACAGTGTTAGTCATTTGAATGTTAAAAGTGGACCCGATTTTATAGTGCATTCCTTCAAGGTAGGCGCGGTCACGACTAAGCCTCTGTTTTCTTCTCTCTATCAAAGGTATTTTCTCCCTCTCAGACTGGAAACACGGAGTAGTGGCTAAGAGAGTATGTTCTTCTTGCAGAGGACCTGAGTTTGGTTCCTAGCATCCTTGTCAGGTGACTCACAAGGCATCTGTTAACTGCAGCTGTAGGAGACTGGGTGCCCTCTTGTGGCCTCTGGTGGTATCTGCACTCAAAGTTCATATTCCCCCTCCCAGTCTCTGTCTCAGTCTCTCTCTTCATACACAAACACACAAACACACACACACGCACGCACGCACGCACACACACACACACACACACACACACAATCTGATGCTGTCTTCTGGCTTCCTAAGTACTGGTATTCACTCATGCAATCCCCCCCCCACACACATATACAATTAAAAATAAAATAAATCTTTGCAGAATATATTCCCTCTGGAGTTTAGCTAGAATTGCTAAATATCCTTTCAGGCTATTTAGCCTCTCTCTTCCTCCTTACGCTGGTGCTTTCCTCAGTTCATTCAATAGAAGGGGTGAGTTCTAAGCAGTCTTCTCTCCGTCCCTCTGTCCCTCTGTCCCTCCGTCCCTCCGTCCCTCCGTCCCTCCGTCCCTCCGTCCCTCCGTCCCTCCGTCCCTCCCTCCCTCCCTCCCTCCCTCCCTCCCTCCCTCCCTCCCTCCCTCCCTCCTTCCTTTCCTCCTTCCCTCCCTCTCAGCCTCCCTTTCATAACTCAGAGTAGGTGGAATGGCAGGAATATGTGTCTGGGGACCAGATTTGTGGATTCTGGTCCTGGATTCAGTTCCTGAATTACCGGCTCAGAGCAGAACTCATGCGTCCTAGAACTCTGAAGAGAATTGGAATGACATGGGCTACAAAGGGCTACACACATTTCAAGGAACTGTTACAAAAGAAAACGAGGTGAGCATTTACATCACAGAGCTTTCTGGGCTGAACAGCACAGTCTGTGTGATCCTCTTAAACCATTGCCATGAGGTAATGGGAACAAGGAAATCTTAGCTCCACTCCGGCCAGCGAACTGGCCTGGGACACCAGGCGTGAGGAGGGCCGGGCTTTTGAAATTTTACTGAGGTGACAACGAGACCACAGAGCCACAAAGCAGTTTGACGGAGTTGCGTGTCCTTCTCTTACTTTCTCATGGTAAGCTGTAGATCGGACATGATTTTAGTTACGTGAACATTAGCATGCTAGTTGGAGAAAGTATGCTGGACTCATTATAAGGAATTTCTCATCAGTGTATATAGAGACATATCTGAATACTAGGGCTTGATAGCTGCTATTACTCATGGAAATACAAATACATAAGACACAATCAATACATATATACATCTATATATTACTTTGAAATGTACATAAAGTTAATATGAAATATTAACGTCAATATTCTTGCAGGTTAGGAGCTTTTTGTCTATATGGTAAAGTCTCTAATTGTAATTTTCCATGTTTTAGAGACTATCTTGTTCCATGCTGTGCACACGCTCACCACCTCCTGCTGCACCATAAAGAGGCACTACTTGCTCTAAAAGTCAGTGAACACATAACCCCCAGTTACTCATTGTAGGCATTTAGGGCGCATTGGGTATTCTGGCACTCGGGAGCCACAGAATACTGAATGTTACACAGCTCAGATGGCAAGGTATTCTGGAGCTTGGGAGCCAAGGACTACCACAGGTTGCAGTAAGCTTAGCAGTTTACAGCCCTGCCTCAGGGAAAGGCTTCCGAGTGTATTGGCTCTGCTCTGGCAGGACAGGGTCTTCCAGCTGGGGATGTTTGCCCAGTGTAGCAGTTTTGCTCAGGCAGGAGAAGGTTTCCCGGGGGAAGTTGCTACAGTTCAGCTCTGCTCCGGAGAGTGGAGAGCTGAGTGTAACAACTCCTCTCTGCCAGGGGAAGGTTTGCCCAGCAGAAATGTCACAGCCCTGCTCGCTCTGCTCTGCCCAGGGTCGCCTCTGCTCCACTGCCACCGCGGCTGCAAAAGAAGGTCTTCACCCAAAGCTCATCGAAGGGGTTATTGGGAGGGAAGAATCCAGGAGAGTGGCTGCCCTCTGCCAGAGTGGCAGAGGACAGTCGGGTAGCGGGAACAGCCACAAGCTGAACTGACACGGTTTATATAGGGCTTCCAGGGTAGGGATTGGTCAGATTTCAATGCTGAGCTCAGATTGGCTAGAGCTCCTACCCAAGGATTGGTTAGTTTTCTGCACAGGGTTAGGGTCAGATTTGGCTCTGGTTGCAGGGACAAAGTGTGTTTCTTTCTCTGGTCCTTTTTAGCCTTTTGGCTCCAATTTTAGGGCCAGGGTACATTTCTTTCACTGACTCTGATTCCAGGGACAAAGTGTGTTCCTTTGGCACTGGTTTCAGGGTCAGGGTATATTTCTTTGGTTCTGGTTGCAGGGCCAAAGTGTGTTTCTTTGACTGGTCCCTTTTCCCTACTCTCATGTCAAGGGACGCAGTGTCAAAGTCATGGGAAGTTCAAGTTTAGGTGCAATGGGTCAGTTCTTTTTCCATGAAAAGCTGCTTTTGGAGACAGCTTACAGATGTATGCTCATGGCAGCTTTTAATGCTTAAAAACAAATGAATGAATTTTGATTTAAAGATCGTATAAATACACACTCAAAGGTTGCAGATGAAAAGCGTGCCTGTCACTACGTGGGATGGATGGAAACACTATTTCTACCTGCTGACTTACAACCAAGTAGCAAGAAGGTTGAAGGCAGATGGTGGGGTCTTGTAGAAGACATGTGGGCTGAGTGGAGTTTTCTCTTTTTAAGTTTTATTTCGTCTTCTGAGATGTGAAAACAGCATTTCTTTCCTTGCTTAAGATGAAAAGTCCTTAGACACGTGGGTTGCAAACACCACTTCTGTTCCACGTGTCTTCCCAGAGCCATGCAAGCATTTCCAGCATCAGGTGATCTTGGAAGAACTCAGGGTTGATTTCTGGTTAGGTTGGGTCTGTGCCGAGGGTCCGACTGTGCCTGCCTCACCTGACTGAGGTAATCCTCTGTACCCCATGTGCTGGTGTCTCCTTACTAACCAGAGACAGTCACACACATGAGCCAGCCCCCAGGGAAGGAACCGGCTATGGTACAGTGCTGAACAGAGTTTTCCACTCCGTGTTTGGCTTGGCCTGGTCCCTGTGGTGTCTTGCCAAACCTGCAACCTCCTGTCAGAAGTCATTCAGCCCTGGATGGGAAATATTCCTCATGCCGGTGTCAGAAAGCTGATCTTTCATGGTAAGCCTGGCAGGATGTCTATTTGGTCAGACCCAAGCAGGGAGAAGCCAGCTTTCCCCCTGTAAAGAAGTCGTCTGCAGCGGATGGTACTTGTACTAGCAAAAATATTTAGGTTTGTGGTGTTGGCCAGGCTGCTCCACTTAAAAAAATGAGAAACTCATAAACGTAGAACTGAAAACCTCTTTACTTAGAACCGAGGAAGCCAATGACTACTTTAGTTTAGTAGCCAAAGTAAAACAAGGTGCTGTACAGGATGTTATCTTAGAAATCAAAGTTTGTGTTTGGGTCTATCACCTCAGAGAGTCAGGAAACATCCATGATGTAGAGAGGATGTAAGCAACTGTGGAAATGACAAAGGACTATGTGTCTCAGGGTGTGCGGGATCTACACCGAATCCCTGGGCCCAAATCTCCCATTGGGATTCACAGCAAGCGAAGTCTACACATTAATTCAGGATGCACACAGTACGTTTTACTAACACTGGGCCTATAGCTCAGTTTAATTTTTATACTTGTATTAAACTTTCATATGTATGCACGCCTGATTGTATGCCTGTGCCCCGTGTGCATGTAGGAGGTGCCCTCAGGTGCCAGAACGGAACATTCAAACCACTGAACTGGAGTCATGGATGGCTGTGAGCTGCCATGTGGGCACTGGGAAGTGAATCCAGGTTCTCTGCAGCAGCCAGAGCTCTCATCTGCTGAGCCACCTCTCCAGCCCCATTATTATTATTACTATTGTTATATTATGTTATTATTATTATAGTTTTTCAAGACAGGGTTTCTCTGTGGCTTTGGAGGCTGTCCTGGAACTTGCTCTTGTAGACCAGGCTAGCCTCGAACTCACAGAGATCTGCCTGACTCTGCCTCCTGAGTGCTGGGATTAAAGGCGTGCGCCACCAGCTCCTGGCTTCCATAAGTATTTTTAAAGCAAGTACACAGATGGTAGACACACGGTTCAATAGATGATCATGGGACACACATCTTCATGCTCCTCCACACATGTCAAGAAACAGAGCATTTGTCAGTGTCCCAAGGTCTCATCTTGTGCTCCTCAGGGACACTGCTTCTCTGCTCCTATCTTCTGTTTACCTAGAATTTCAAAATTTATATAAATGGAGCCATACAATATGCAGTTCAGCTGTAATTTTATCTACAGTTAAGTTGCTAGGATACATGACTTCATTCTAAGTACCATTAGTTGCCATTCTCCATCACAGAGAGTATGCAAGCGTGCGAATAACATCTTTGGTCTGCTCTGCTATAAATGGGTATATGGTTCTTAGGCTCCATGCTTCTGTGTGTGTGTGTGTGTGTGTGTGTGTGTGGGTGTGCGCGCGCGCGCGTGTGCACCTGCGATATGTCACTGTCTGTCCTAGTTTGCTTTATGTTGC